ATAGTCAACTTTTTATAATTTTAGTTTTAAGAAGTTTATACAGTACCTTATATTCAATTCTGGTATTCGTGTTTAAACAGTTTTAAACCGTTCAAAGTATCAGCCTTTAAATAATACTCGAAATATAAAATTTCACAGTGTGATTTTCTTATAAAGTCAAACCAGTACCAACTACGTGCAGTCAGGCGGCAATCCTGTTTTTGCAAGTAAACCTCAACATGTAGCGACGTGTATTTACCTGTTCTTAGTCTTTCGGGAAAAATTGAACGAAAATATATACAGCGAGATAATGAAATTAATGTTGAGATTTGCCCAGAATTTAAGCTGCTTATTAAACTACCTGTTTTTTTTTTTTGTAAGTACAGCGTTATTCGTTTGTATGTTTATTGATGTATTGCACATTGCCCGAATTAGTTAATGTGGGTTGGAAGGTTTTTTTTATGATAATGCTTTAGTTATTTTCATATGAGCCTATGAAATCAATAACCCTCCGGTATTTCTCCCTTCAACTAGAGGACCCTTCAACTAGAGGACCCATCAACTAGAGGACCCATCAACTAGACTACCCATCAACTAGACGACCCATCAACTACATGACACATCAACTAGAGGACCCATCAACTAGAGGACCCATCAACTAGACGACCCATCAAATAGAGGACCCATCAACTAGACGACCCATCAACTAGAGGACCCATCAACTGGACGACCCATCAACTAGAGGACCCATCAACTAGAGGACCCATCAACTAGAGGATTCATCAACTAGAGGACCTATCAACTAGAGGACCCATGAACACTAGGACCCATGAACTAGATGACCCATCAACTGAAGGACCCATCAACTAGAGGACCCATCAACTAGAGGACCTATCAACTAGAGGACCCAATAACTAGAGGACCCACAAACTAGAGGACCCAACAACTAGAGGACCCAATAACTAGTGGGCCCATCAACTAGAGGACCCATCAACTAGAGGACCCATCAACTAGAGGACCCATCAACTAGAAAACCCATCAACTAGAGGACCCATCAACTAGAGGACCCATCAACTAGAGGACCCATCAACTAGAGGATCCATCAACTAGAGGACCCATCAACTAGAGGACCCATCAACTAGACTACCCATCAACTAGAGGACCCATCAACTAGAGGACCCATCAACTAGAGGACCCATCAACTAGAGGACCCATCAACTAGAAGACCCATCAACTAGAAAACCCATCAACTAGAGGACCCATCAACTAGAGGACCCATCAACTAGAGGACCCATCAACTAGAGGACCCATCAACTAGAAAACCCATCAACTAGAGGACCCATCAACTAGAGGACCCATCAACTAGAGGACCCATCAACTAGAGGACCCATCAACTAGAGGACCCATCAACTAGAGGACCCATCAACTAGAGGACCCATCAACTAGAGGACCCATCAACTAGAGGACCCATCAAATAGAGAACCTACCAACTAGAACACCCATCAACTGGAGGATTTATTATCATATTGATCATACACGTTGATTATTCCGTAAGTGCTTAACGTAAGTGTATGTGTACACTTAAAACAATACAAATAATATAACAAACAGTTGAACACATACTAAAGTACCCTGACTAACACCACTTATCGACAACCGACCAACGAATTCAGAAATAGGCAACTAAAACCAATCCTTTAACCAACAACCACAAAATAACGAACCACAACAAGCACTCCTAACCAACAACCGACCAACAAACAACTGACCCACTAAACAAACATCATAACGACAACCCGGAAACAACCAAAGACAACTAACACAACTTACCATCAAACAACGTACCGCAACTACCACCACTAACAGACAAACGAACGACAACTTATCAACTAACCGACAACCACACAGCTTACCAATAGAATGACAACATAACATCACAATATCAAAATACCATATACGCAGCAAGTCCATAGCCATATTCTAAATGGGAGCCGCAAACAAGCCTTCTAATCAATTATAACTGGAACAAAAATCGTCAGCAGAAATCCATACATTAGCCGTCAAGTGATACTTTGACTGCAAAATAGAAGTCAAAATTTCAACCACCAGCTAATTAGCCATCAATTTAATCGCAGCAAGCCAAATAGCCTTTAAGTCATCAACAGCTAGACAACCGCTCGTCAAATCATCAACAGCAAGCTAATTAGCTGTAACTGCAACTATCCAAATACAAGCTCATTAATGTAAACCAAAATAGCCGTAATGACAACAATTTAATAATTAATCAACAGCAAACAATTAGACAAGTCACCCAAAGCATGGAAATTATCCATCAAGTCATAAGCAGTAAGTCAAATATCCGTCAAATCATCTAATGTAATAAATAAATAATACATTCGTTATTAGCATGACAATCCAACTAACCGCCATGTCATTAACAGCAAGCCAAAATATTTACAACACGTCAACTCGCAGTCAAGTTATCACCAGTAAGCTAATTCCTTCAAGTCGTCATTAGCGTTAAGTTGTAGCAACAGCAAAATAACCGTAATATCATTGACATAGAGCTTATTTCCAGTCATCATTTTTAAACAATTTTCAATCAAAACACACGAAAAAGACAATTAACCATCTTCAACAGCACGCCAAGTGCCAGTAAATTAAACAAGAGCAATCCATGTGTCAAGCCGCACATAACAAACAAAATATCCGTAACCTCACCAACAGCAAGCCCACTAGCCATAAAGTCATCAAAGAGTGCTTAAGTCAAAACAGCTAGTCATCGAATCGTTATGTCATAGCAGTAGGACGAAAAAAAAACGTCAAGTCATCAATAACAAGCCAACTAGCCATATATCAGAATCAAGTCACATGGCGGTAAATAAATTAACTGCAAGCCTACTAGACAAATCATCAGCAGTATGTCAAATATTATAATTGGCTGCCTAATAAATCATTAATAACAAGAATTTATCAACAGCAAGTAAACTATCTGCCAAGTCTTCAGCAGTGTTTCTTCCACACTTTTTTTCTCCGAAGGGAGATACCCTCTAGCCATACCATTCGTAGCAAGCCTAACTAGCTGGTATGCCATGAACAGCAAGCCAGATAACAATCATATCATCAGTGGCAAGCTAAATAGCCGATAAGTCATCAGCAGCAAGCCAACTAGCCGTCGAGTCATCAGGGGCAAGTCTAATAATTAACGTCACAGCATTAGTTCAGTTTTAAGCAGTAAGCTAATCAACCAATGTATTCATTAGTAGCAAGACAAGTAGCCGCTAAGCCATCAATAACAAGTTAAATAGCTTTCAACTCATCATCAGCTAGTCCGCTAGCCATCACGTCATCAGCAGCAAACCACCAGCTTTCATGTCATCATTTGATGTCCACTAGCCAATAGCCATGTCATCAGTAGTAAGCCAAATGGCCGTCAAAAAATTAATAGCAAACCAAATTTCCGTCAAGTCATCAGCAGCATGCTAAATAGCCGACAAGTCATGAAGAGCAAGTCAAAGTACCGTAACGGATTAAGTTTGTACCAGAGTTTCTTCCAGGCATCTCTTCGGGGGGGGGGGGGCTTCGCCCCCCGAAAAAATGTTACCGCCCCCCGAACGAAATGAAATTTATATAATTTATAGACAAAATATATACTTTTAACAGTGTCCGCCCCCCCCCCCCCCCGAAGAAAGTTTACCGCCCCTCCCCCCGAAAATTTCAAGTGCCCCCCCCCCCCCCCGGAGAAAAAAGTCTGGAAGAAACACTGGTTTGTACCCTTCACTCTGTACACATTATATATAAAAAACATCTACATTCATGCACAAACGCTATCTAGCCTGCTCTTTCCCCCCGAGTGCTAATCTTACATGATGAAATCCTTTCTCACTGCGTATGCAATTAAATTATCTGTATCTCCTTAGGTGTAATAGTAGTCAGTAATCAACTGTGATATTTAAATCTAGAATTGTGTTTACTTTTGTAAGCCCGCTTCAATGAATCCTTCAATGTATAATATAGTTTATTTTTTAGGAAATACTTTACCTTGTTTCTTAGTCAGTGTGAGCAACATGCTCAAGGAACACACTGAAACATAGCATGTCGTACCGGGGAAAAAAAAGGATTAGACTATCGACGATCGCTTGAATAAATTATTAGGTGCATCTCATTTAATATCTTAAATAATTTAAAAAACTGTACCAATGTAATATCTATGTAAAAAAACGTTACTATTAAATAAAGCAGGCATTTATAAAGTAAAGTTTGCAAACATTTAATTGAATATAAAACAGCTTTTGAATCATGTGAAAACATCTACAATGTATAATAGCATAATTCAAATTTATTGTAATTTTGTTCGTGCCCAAGACACATGCGCAGTTAATATGTCCTCGACATACAATGGGATAGCGCGGTTAGCACTTTATTCACTTGCCTTTGTTTCTGAACGTGAGTAGGTAAACATCAGAGATTGGTGGTTCTAGTGACATCCTATAGACTCGTGTCCGGCATCTGGATTCGACGATCGGGTAGCACTCGTCAGCTCTACCGTCTAACCAACATATAGGGTAATACAGTTTTACTGTTACAATATATTTTAGCCTAATAATAGTATCACTGCAGCGTATCCATAGATGTGTGTCACTAGACAGTTACACACGACACATGTTCTACCAGAAAACTGAATGTAGGTCTACAGAAACACATCGTTTCTCGATACGAATTTACTTCCTGTATGAAGTGGCATTGGAATGGAAACATTTTTCATGTTACAATTACACACAAAAGCAAAGTTAAAGCTTCGGAGACATAATATGTAAACGATTTTCAAATCGTAAGTTGAAATTACAAAATGTGTGAAATTTTACTTCTAATAATTGTAAGTTCTTAATGTAAATCTTTCTTGTGAAATGACAAAAGTTTTTTGATATTCTTACATGAACTATCTAAGAAGAAAACAATTCATTATGCGAAGATTATTTTATTCTAGCAATAAATATTAGATTTGACAATATTTCAGTATTATGACGAAAAAAGTGAAAGTTATGTTACAAATGTTGGTGATGTGTATGCATCATTTAACAGGTATACTTTAATATGATATTTTCTACATCTGTTATCTGATAACATGTGATGTATAACTTTATATATTGTAACATATTAAATTGCACACACACATATATATATATATATATATGTATACGATATATATATATATATATATATATATATATATATATATATATATATATATATATATATATATATATATACAATGTATACATTGATATTATATAATTGACTAAACTGCTTATCTTACAGTATTCTGTGCTGAGATATTGAACTCTCAAGAAAACATCACATTAGGTACTACATTTAAGTAATTTATATTTATGACTTATACTCTGTTTTAAAACTTAGTTTAAATTTCTACAATAGTCGATAATATATATTGTATAAAAAATTGGCCAATGCTAGCCGGAAAAAGATACGCATATGTGCAATGGAGAGAAACTACGACTTTCCATCGCGGCGATCTTTTGCCGACTAAGTGGAGACGTTGGGGAGAAAAATCTTTTTCCGAGCAGGTACTTCGTAAAAAATTATTATAAGCGTATTACATCTAGTCAAATATTTTATTTTAAAATCATCGCAGATTAACAAAGCTATAGAAATACATACAAGAACATTACCAATAATTGTGTAGCGTTTAATTTATTTTCTGCTTCATTAACATAATACTATTTTTTTCTTCTAAAAGTGCCGATGCGTCTCTTACAGAGAAATGCTAACAACACGAACTACATGTACACATTAAACAGCCGAGCTGAGATCAAAATTTATATTAGCGGCTATCCTGCACCTTCCCAGTACAAAATCAGTAAAGAATCAGGGGGAGTAACCAATGAATTCATTGTTTCATCAGCTAAAAGCTCTCTAATGCTAGAGAGTTTCTTGATAGTTCATACATTTGTCCTTGTTCCTGAAGGAATAATTACTTTTGTTGTTAAAACTATAACACCGGACTCCTTTGGTAATTACTTTCTAAGCATTCATAACGGAGTAGGGAATAATCTAATTTACAGCTTCAAGTTTACGGAAGGTAAAACTAAATAATATACAACTTTTTCATGTTTTTGTTTTACTATAATTGTAACATTTATAATATATAATTCTCTTCTTGGAGACGCTAGAAAACAAGCTGTAAGCGCGCTCCCTACCACCCCCACCCCTACATGGTATGGTGAGCTTTGGTTCACGCTAAATGTTTACAATCGTAGAGCCGGGTTTAGTGACGGTTACTAGGGGCAGATAATTTAGTTTGAAACGATTTTAAACTTAGGGGAGGTAACTAAGAGGAGGCTACTTTCACGGGGGGGGGGGGTGAGTTAGGGGTTGGGGGAAAGGAGGGTATGGGTATTATCGTCCTTAACGACATACTGATAGTGTTTTAAAGCAAATATTTTAAGTGGCATCATTGGTACTGTCGAATTCACAAATTATGAATTACTGAAAAGTAGAAAATAAAACAACTAAATCGCGGCGTATGATATGCCGCGGGTTGGCTGGTTAACTATAAAATATCAAAACAACAACACTAACAGATATTCCATAAATAGAGTCACATTTCATTAACAAGCCTGTAATTTAAAGAAAAAATTATTGAAAGAAAAATGTAAAGGTGTAGACCTATAAAATATTTACTCTGAACAAAAAAATGTAACTTCTGATTCCAGAGCTCAGCAGTAAAGGTGCTGCGGTTGCCGGAGGTGTGACAGCGGCTGCTGTTGTTATGGTGGTGGCTACGGTCATTGTGATGTATTTCAAGAGGAAAAGTGAGATTGTTATCTTTCTATTTTCTCATGCCTTAGATAAATTTCGGAGAGAAATAGAGACATGCATAGATATATATAGAGAGAGAGAGAAAGAGAGAAAGAGATAAAGAGAGAGAGAGAGAAAGAGAGTATATGGAAAAAAGAAAAGGAAAAAATAGTGTAACAGGTGCAGTAAGTAATTGTAAGTTGTTATTAATAATTGCTTTTATTAGGTTTATAATCTTTAGTTTAAAATAAAAGTTTATATTTATTGAAATTTAATTGCTTATTGGATGATAGCAATTGTTGAAATAAATGTGTAAAAGTTTAATTGCAGGTCAAATAAGAAAACAAGTTCAAACTACAGAGTAAGATATTTTGTAATTTTTTTTTTAAACTGATGTTAAATTATTTAAATACGTTTGTTTACTTTTTCAAATGTTATTTTAGTCAGCAGCAAAGTCCTAGCACAGTGTTGTATTGTATTAGTTTTTTTTTTAAATAATACATTTTAAACACTTATTTCTGTAGGAATAAATGTATATTATTTTAACACAGACTTGAACCATCAGCACCGGCAGGTAAATAAGATGAATGTATATGTTTAAACAACATATGGTATAATTAAAAACGCGAATATATAATCGTTATTTTAATAAAGTTTGTTTTCTTATCCTCCTTTTATTTATCCCTATTTTGCTAAAAGTGATATACAACTAATATTAATATTTTAATAATTAACATTATTTATGAGACAAATAGATGTAATACAACATATTTTAAAAAGAATATCGTTCCATATTTATCAGATATGTTTTACAAAACAAGAAATAACAAAGATCATGTTGATTGTATAATGATACAATTTAAACATTTTTCTCTTAGATAACTCAGTTCCTTCATCAGTTGAGATCAGCGATTATAAAGCCCCATACGTAGTTGCAAATATTATAAATACCGGAGGTAAAAATATATTTTAAAAAAATTGTTAATCTATATTTTGTTGACTTCTTTTTAAATTTAATTGTTTTTATAATTCTCATTTTATCGTATGTGCTGTTCGCAGTAACTCAATAACTTGACAATTCTAATATTTTCAGATTATGACGAGATAGACTATGCGCTGCAGTACGACAGACTAGAAGAATCACCTGCTGAAGCTGGTAAGACATGTCGGCTCTTTTTCTTAGCAGTCTGCCTTAACACTTGACAAAACCTAACTATAACTCAAACAACCATCATTCTTTTTTCACCTTTCTTGCTTAAGACACTTGAGTATATGTGTTAAAAATATATTTTAATAGCCTTGGCATAGTGTGGCCAGCTCAATGCTCAGTAGTAATTCATCCAACATAGCTGAGTGGACTCAGTAACGTAGTACCTGCATTTAAAAAATCGTTAACACATTATACCCAGTGTTACAACACTATTGTTTACATTAGCACTACCCTAACATGAGCCACATTTAAAGAGCCGAATAGCAAAAAAAGGAAAAGCACATTAAGTGAGGTGTAGGTGCATTTTAATTTATAAAAACAAAGTATTCTTTCAAAGAGCAGTCATGTGTAGTAATTTTACAAAAAAAAAACCGAAATAAATGAAACATAACACATGTAATCTTGGAATATTACCACACCAGTTAATTTAAATGTATAGACAATCATATTCTTGTATATATAGCGGCCTATGAAAATACACTGGCTTTACACACAACAAATGCATATGACTGCATTGATACGTCACAGCAGAATGAAGGTAAAGCATTTATGTTGTATTTAATTCAATATTTTATATTCTAATGTTACATTTACATTTCGATATAAAGGTATCAATAAGGCACTGTAGTACCCTTTTACTGCTACTGATGTATCATTTATTTTTGACAAACGTATTTCAAACTAATAGTATAACTAAGAGTTAAAAAAAGTTTTTTTTATACTATTAAATCCTTTATGTAATAATTCATCATTTCAGAACTGAATTATATGTGTGTTACAACAACGTAATGATTCGCATTTTCAAAGCAAGTCTCTTTGTAAATCATGTCTCGATACTAATATATTAGTATTGTGTTGATATTAAAATAAGTTGGTATTTGGGCAATCTAGTATTAATTTCTTTAATATATAAATCATACTTTAGTTGTTGGTTACTTAGGTTAAAGAAAAAAGTAACTAGAGTGACAGTCTTCTTTTAAAGAGTTTTTCATATTGTATCGGAATTAATTAATAAAATAGTGGAATTCCGTTAAAAGTAAATTATTTACATTTCTTGTAGAATAAATAAAACATAATGACCAGTCAATGTGGGAAAAATGTAATGAATGTATTGTTAAGAAAACACATGCTAAACCGAAAAGTCTCGAGTTCGAACCCGCGGGCAGATGAGGCTCCAAAATTAAACAACTGCTGCCTTGTAGTTTGTTCTTGGTTGGACAAAGGCTATGAAAGCAAATCCAAAAAGAAAAGCAGGCTGAAATCGGAGTCAATGGCCTCAATGGCGCATAATCAGTTGACACGTAACGCTTAATTGTGTTGAAGGCGTGGTCGAGTCGGCAAAAAAGCTCATGGTTGATAAATTCGAACAAAGTCTCGAGTTCAATCCCATTGGCAGATAAATCTCGATCCCCTTCAACACTAATAATTAAGAACGAAGAAGAAGAAGAAAAAGAAAAAAACACATTAAACTATAAATTGGGATTGAGTAAACACTCATATCAGATTTGACGTATTACCGAAACAGTGTGTACAATGAATATTTTATCTTTAAAAATAGGACATAATGTGTACCTCGACAAGGTAGTAGTTTGGAATTAAGTATGTATTGTATGTTAATACAATGACACAAATGCAGTTTTAGTATATAGCTGCATTTTCAAATGCATTGATTTGGTAATAAATGTGTATTATCACATATAGTAGGTAATGCCTAGCTATCAAGCAATAAAGTCTTATGTGCCACAATACGTCGTTTTCAAAATGTTCTTTTCAACACTAAACCGTCTTCACGTTTATAAAATTAGTGTCATCTTATCATTTATCTAATCTTAAGCGAGCTGGTATATACTAAATACCTTTCAATTGTGTATAAAACTAAGAGGTTTATATTATTGTATAAAAGACTTTCATCCTAAATTTTGATAACTTCCTGTTTGATCCATTACAAAACTTTCATATTTCGGCTCTGAGGAAGCAAAAACAAAAGTTGATTTTACTAAAACAATTGCCACAAGTTATAGTGTTGGTAAAAATAAATAATAAAATAAAACACTAGACAAACACTAGCAAATATAATAAAATCCTTACCAATCTTTACTTGGGTTGTGTCAATGTGATCATACAATACAGATGAATTCACAGCTGCATAACTGCTACCAGCGTCTAAAAATGATTCTTTATTAGACAAAATTGACATAATATCATGTACTTATATGTGTATGTTAGACATTAATATTTTGAATGGGTAAAATAAAACACTCACCTGGTTCAGTTGATGATTGTTCAAGCCTGTCATATGTTGTTGAAGTATCAACGTCTTCATACCCTAGTGTTATCATAACGAAGATATACTTTAGTGTATCAAGTGTAATAATATTACCTTTAAGTTAAAAAAAAATGTAAAGTAAATTTAAAAGTTCCGAAAACCCTAACCTGATTCACGAAAATTATTTTCAGTTGTGGTTTCGTTACTGCTGTTAACGTAAATATCATTATCTACAAATTAAAAAATAAATAAATAAAAATAACAGCAAGGGATAACTCACTAAAATGAAACAAGATTTACGAAATTATTTTTATACACTTACACTTGAATTAAAAATAAAGATAAATATCGTGTACTCTCATGTATAAACTAATGTTTATTCATTAACATAACTAGCATGTATGATACTTGACACTCGAAATTCTAAATATATACACAACCAGTATAAACCTACCTTCGGTTTTATTCTGTGAGAAACTGAAAAGAAATTAAATATAGATTTTATCGTATAACAAAAACATTAATTTATACATTTCTGCTGCATATAGCATGCTGCAAAACTTGTACAGCTTTCCATAACTTGAAAGCAAATAGCTTTATGGAGAAAACTAGATACTTACACAATGGTCTGTATTTTATCAAGAATGTTACGACCTGGATAAAGAAAAAAATAAAAATAAACTTTCAAAATGTTTTATTCCCGGAAAACGGTTGTAAAACTTTAAATTTACTGACAAAAAAACGTACGTTGAACTATGGCTAATATACACACAACAATAAGCACAACAGCAGCCAGTGTTCCACCAACTGATGCCGCAATGACGTCATTTGAATTTTCCTCAATTTCTGTTAGAAAATATGATAATACAAATGTAAGCATGACAAATAAAATAATTAAAAAGGCATTTAAATTAAAAGGTGTGCAATCAGTATTTTAAAATAATTTATTTTCATTAAACTTGAAGATCAATATTCTTAGTTATACTTTGATTTTTGTTAATGATAAAATAATTGTACAATTTGCGAAATAATTATTCTGAAAAGTGTCCTTAAATTTACTTAAACACATTCGAGCAAGTAAAAGAAATGGTGAACATATTAATAAATGAATACTGATTTTTTAAAATGAAAATTTACTAAAAATAAAACTTACTAAAACGGGTTCAGTTTACCTTTAATTTCAAAACTATACTCTAGCAAATTTCTAGTAACATTGTTTGAAATATAAATCTTATAGCTGGTGAAATCGGTTGCTATCAAACTGTTAACTGCAATATGCAAATCTCCATATGGTATATCCTGATAAGAAAATAATAGTGAAATTCTATTTCCATTACTGGACATCATGTTTAAGTCATCATATTTATTTAGTGGTATCACAGCATTGAGCTTTGTTGTGGCATTTAGTTTATAAATAACGAAAATCTCGGGTGCAGGGTATCCGAAAAGAAGTAGATGTTTTGAAAAGTTATTTCCCTTCGCTTCGTAATATACATCGAGTTGTACATCTTTAGTCTTTAGCTGTGGAGGACCTTTAGAATAAACAAAAAGACATACTAATTTTATACTAATGTAACTGTTTATTTTACTTGTTTACTATTGTGACTACAGATACGTGTTATCCAAAAAAAGGGCTGCGGCACAAGACTAAGTAAAAGAAAGGCTCGTTGCTAAATTAAATACTAAAGAGTTGAATACTTATCAACACTATACACTTACACTAAACACAGTCTATTCTAACTAAATTATACTTTAGTAAAAGAGAAACGTAGGATACATTTGCCACAGAACTAAAGTACCAATGACTAAACTACTATAACTTTGTAGATGTAACGTACAAGACAAGAGAGAACAAACAGTATGTCACACACCTTTTATACCCTTACACAAACAAGAACATCTGACAATCACCACTTACAGCGATTTTTTTTTTAATATTCGAATATATCACCTACGTTATTGTACCCACGAATATATCACTAGAAGTGTTTAACATAATTTTATTTGAAATTATAAAAATCCAAATATAAAAAATATCTGCAATTATTTATTTATGTACTAATCTGTATGAACATAGCATTTATAATCGTATGAACGATGTCTAAATCACAAGAAAAAATGGAAAAAACAATTAAATAAAATTAATTCGACATTTCCTATAAAATAAGAAACTGAGATAGGACTAATATTTTTAACGAATATGCAATTTAGATTTTTGATTCGACGGGCTATTTTATACTAGCTGCATCCCGTGCTCCGCCACGGTAAATCTTTTTTAAATGTACCAACTTGGGAACAGGACAAAACTAAACACAACACAAACGAACGCAAAAAAAAACACAAACGAAAAAACAAACACAACACTCATAACATAAACACAATTTAAATGCAATCATAAAGGCATATTGCTCACAGTCTTGCCAGTAGCGCCAAATCGAGCCCTTTCTGGTGATTTGCACCCCTTTCAAACTTTCGATTTGCACCCCTGTCCCCCCCCCGCCCTAAAACTTTCGATTTCCACCACCCCCCTCCTCGCAAATTTTTTCCAACCCACTTTGGCGCCCCCTAAGGTTGGCACCCAGGGACATATGTTTTACTTACAATATTTCACCTTATCCATTCACGCATTTTTTCCCAGTACTTTAAATTCTAAAAAATTACAATAGAGTTTCATAACTAAAACCATTGCGCACCGAATGAACGTGATGACGCGTCTATAATAGTGCTTAATAGTTGATTAAAAATTATAAGTAGTAAACATTACCTTCAGTGAATAAAATAAATAAAAAATAGCCTTTTATCAATCAATGCTAATTATAATATTCCAACAATATTGTACTTTTACACGTCTGCATAATTTGCATTCACATTTTGCTAATTATATTATTCCAACAATTATTCCGTCTTGCAGATTTTGCATTCACATTTTTAGCGTGAGTTCAATTTATTTTTAAAATACCTCCCTTGGCAAAATTACTAAACAGTTTAATTAGATTTTTCTAACCTACAGCTATTATGTTATTACAATGTATCCACTTTCTCTAGGAATATTAACGAAAACGATATTTGACATTGATCCTTTTAATATGTTTTAGCAATGTGCATGTATTTAATATTCTCTTTACGTTATGCAAAATTGTACAAACAGTGGAAATTATAAAATAGCTCTATGTCGTTATATAAACAAACCCTACTCTAATACTTATAATAAGACACTGCGGTGCACTGAAAAGCACAGCATGGTGCGTAGTTTACTTTTATAGTCCCAAAATCTATAGCGATGACGGACAGACACAGCCCGCTTATATTATAGATTATATTATAGATTACTTAATTGAAAATAAGTTGGTATATGAAGTCAGAGTGTACATATATGATGTACTATAAATACTAAGTCTGTAGCATGCATATAAATAAATACTTACAGAAAACATAGACTGTCGTATTGTACTTGTGCTGTGGTTCCTGGTCTGTTGGAAAACCGTTGGTTGCCTTACAAAAATAATCGCCTCCATCTTCACAGGCCATTAAAGTACTCAACATTCCAGAGTCTGTCGCATACACTTTTCTTTCGTTCCCAATTGTTATTACAGGTTTTGGGTTTCCGTCCGCTTCACATTGAAAAGCTACAACGCTTTCATTTTTTACTTCAATTGTGGTTTTATTTGAACCAATGATGGAGAAACTTGTTACCATTGCTTTATCTGCACACAAATATAATATTGAAGGAGACACATAAAAGATAATTATATATGTATGTATATATATATATATATATATATATATATATATATATATATATATATATATATATATATATATATATATTTACTTATATTAAAGTACTAAACTAATATTATGCATTTATTTAGATTGTATTTTCTATTTCGTTCTGTTACTTTTAAATGATGAGATCTAACATCTAACATAAGTACGCCTACTTTTTATATTGATATGTATTGAATTCCAACAAGTATACTACTAGCTTACACATTTTCATAAACATATAAACTAAACGTTTGTTGATCAATTTTTAAATTTTAGATGTTTTAAAATATATCAATAAAATACTTAAGGGTACATATTATTCCCTTGTATGTAGAGCTATTTAAGACGATACTTACACAAAACGTTTAGTATCACGTAGGCTAACTTTTGGTCATATGAGCCAACTACAAATTGGACAAAACGTGTACATATTTCTCCATTTCTTTCCCTGAAAACTTTTCCTAAAACTAGATGTACAAGGTTGCCTTCTGATACGCTACTGTTGAAACCACACGTTAGAGAAATATTTCCAGTATTTGGGTTTCCACCAACTATTCTACAGCTAAGTGTAATGTTGTCACCTTCTTGTATAGTTACCGTCGTGTTAGTGGTTGGTTGTTGGTTGATCAATATAACAGGTGGTATATCTGGTGGTTCTGATATTTTAAAATTAAAAACTCGCAAATGCGAATATGGCAAAAATATAATATTCGTAACACTATAAGCAACAATAAAAAATGAATAAAAACATTTTTGATAACTGATTTTAATAATATAACATTTAGCGTTCAATTAACATTAGAAGCATATACCAACCTATGGGTATATAGTTGTTTGAGCTTAGTCCATAAGAACTGTTTGTACCATTTGGAAATATTTGAGCAGTGACGTTTAAAATTCCCAGTGTAATGCTGGAAAGAGGGATGCTAATATCACACACGGACATAAAGTAGCCTTGTGAATTCCTTGTGTGGCTGTATTCAATCTGTGACTGCTCCATTATGGTGTTGTTCTAGAGATAAAATGAACATTACTTGGAATCAATATACACAATGTTACTCTTTAAACACAATTTAAACTTAAATGTTTATATTGACACAAGTATTTCTTATAAATCAATGTGACTTTCTTTTGGTTAGAATAATTTGTAAATAAAGTGTAATTTCGTCTAAAATATTTATTTTATTTATTTTATCAATTAAAAAATAGATTGATAAATAGTACTTTGCCAATTATCACGAAAAGCATTGCAATCGATACAGGAATTGAGCCATTTTATGATTAAAAATATCAGTAAAATTTACCAACATTTGTTATCTCAATCACACAATATGGTAACATTAAAAAATATTATTAGTGTGAATAAACCTTGTAAAATATACAGACACCACTCGGAAATATGTGTTCTGTTAAGCAAGAAATACTTATCGCCCTTGAATCTTCTGTAAATTTTGCTTCACATTTGAAAGTAGTTGGTCGACCTGAGAGGAAGAAATATTTAGCCCTCACACATTTCCTAAATTTTGCTTAAATATAATCGCAATGCATAAAATATTTTTATTCCTCAGAATTGTGAAAAGTTTGCAAGAAGATCTTTGCAAATAAATTGATAATAATGAAATTGATGCAGTTACAGTTTACTAAATTTTTCTCATAATATTAGAGAATAAATATATGCGCATACATTATGTCATACCTACAACAATCATATTGTAAGTTTCCCTAACTTTAGATTCCATCGAAAGTATGCACTTCCAAGTTCTGGTATCGTAAATAGAAGCATTAACAATCGTCAGAATACTTTGGCCACTTATAATCTCTACTAATACTATTGTTGGTGCTTTGCCACAGACACATTGTGGAGATTTATCGAATTCACCACAAGAGCAAACTGGCTGAGTTCCGTTAAGCCACGTTAGCTGTAAACTGTCTGATATATTTTGAGCATTGCACGCAAGGGATGCTATGTTAAATTCCTCAATAGTGACCAATTTTTGTGACCACGCTGTAATTAAAGAAAAGAAAGTTATTTCAATTTTGTTTCAACTACGCTGAACATAAAGTAGTTTGGATTATGTGCACTTAAATTAATACAGCCTGTAATTTCTATATACAAAATATATCTAGTTTTAAACATTACGAATGCGACTATTCAAATTCAATCTGCTTTACCACAGCTACTTCAAGCATATAAAGTATTTTAAATAAAAGTGAATGAAGTTAACGTAAGATGCATTACTACCCAACTATTTGCATAAATCGACCTTTATTCCCTAGTCTCTCTCTCTCTCTCTTTGTCTCTCGATTATACAGACGCTAACACGCAATGCATTTAATTTAAACATAAATTCTTACCTGCACAAGCAAACAATAACAGCAGGATTGACGATAACATTGCAATTATCTATATCTGAAAAAAAATTTTTAAAATTTGCATTCAAGATGTCTTAATTTTTTCTAAACTATAAATTAAATCATGTCAAATAATTTTTTAACGTTAGTTAAAACTTAATAATATGAAATAGGAAGGTCAGATGAATATATCTACAAAAAGAAAATTTATTTACGCTCCATTCGATGTGCTTACCAAGATTAAATGCTAAGCTGCTGATATGAACTGTGTACCTGTAAATGTCTGGAACTGTACCTTTACATAAAACACACAACACATCAATTTATTTAGTTCCATGTATCTAATAATACAACCAGGAAGTAAAAAAAAACATATCAAGGTTGTCGATGTTAACACAAGTGGCCTATATATTGCACTAGACAGAAACATACTTAAAGTAAGACAGGTTTGTATAAGGTATTATTTAAGTTAAAAATTTAAAAACAATGTTGCTAATTAAAACGATTATAAAAGCATATTTTAAAGCAATAAAGATCGTTATAACTGATAGTAATACAACTCAGTAAGCTACTTAGCTTTGAAACAGCCACTTTACACACTCTTTCGCAGAAAACCGGTATCCTTATTAGTTAAAAAAGTCATAATGCACACGTCTAAGTGTATTTTTATTTCGAAGATAATTTACGCAGTCCTATTAAAGTCATACAACGAGAGCTTAAAATATACAATAATTTGTGTGTGATTTTAAAAAAAATTGTTTTTGATGTAACATTGTTATCACAAAACGTTTAATTACATATTTAAAATAAACTGTCACTAAGAGTACTCTATTACACATTACGTTTTATTTACATTACTATTATACAATCTACATAGTGTTACATCATCTAAACAAAAGAAATATTTACCTGTAACTGAAATATGTATTATCAAGTAATTGCAGCGATTAATTTAACTATAACATTAGTGAAACTTAAAAGCATTTCAATGATAAAGTATCATATTTGTTTCATTAAATACAATCATAAACTTATCTGACGAATTGAAATGGTTTGTTCTGATTAAAGTATCTAATCTTAGAACAAGGAAGTAAATTAAGCTTTTGTTACCATTTTCAACAGACCTATGTGAATGTACACAGTCAAGCCACGACGGTGGATACGTTTAATCCAGTCCTAGCTTCAATGCATGCAAGTTAATTTTAAATGATAATAAAATAACATCTTATTTAGTTACTGACAGTTAACATAATCGATAAATACCATTATAATTATATGTTTTAAGCCAACGTCTAGTGCAAGATATCAAACTGTGCTGTTTATAGAAATCCAAATGAGTAATTCTTTGGCCTGGTTAAGGCTTTAGTGTGTTTTTAACGTTGTAAAAAAGTGTAACTTACATTATGCGATCATTAAAGCTGTATGTAGTGTTTACTATCAGGAAAAGTTTCTAAGTGCATTAGCTCACACTGAACTATCATGGTTTGCATCCCCAATAGAACGTGATATTTGACGGTTAGGGTTACGTTGATGGTACAAGTTAACGTTGGCTTAAAAGTGCGTGTTAATGGTAGCTTATACCTAGCAAATGTATGACAAATATATATATATATATATTGTACTATACCAACTTTACTCAGATATTTCATTTGATTACATGTTTCTCAGACAGTTTACAGATAACGTCTATAGTCATCAGAATTTTATTGGCAAGCGGTTGAAGACTTTCATGTGAAATCCTGGACCAAATATATATATATATATATATATATATATATATATATATATATATATATATATATATATATATATATATATATATGTGTGTGTATGTGTAATATGGCTTTAATACATTTTTTTTCAGGCTGCACAGAAATGAATAAATTTGTATGTATCCTAATAAGCGTAACAGCTGTATTTGTGTTTGGTGAGTATTAACATGTAAACAGTAACAACTAGCTGTTTAATACTAATTATATGTACTGTTAACGCACGATACATATACTGACTTTCAGACGCAACATGCTGTGATCCTGCCGAAATAGGATATAGCTACACATTTAGCTGGAGCGGTGCTGTTACGAATGAAGATTTTGTTTCCTGGGTTACCTCAGCATTTTCTATAATTAACTGTAGATTGGATACACTGGTCTGTTCAACTAGGCCGCCATATTTTAAAGCTAACATTACAAAACATCTAATAATATTATTTTGGCAACCCTCACTTTTTCTCCAATGGTTACTGAGCTGTATCAAAGGCAGTATTCCATCAGAGTTGGTTACAATTCTTACAACGTATGTGATGCCCTAGAGGTATTTAGTAAGTACAGTTTAAAGTCAACACTAGAAAACAAAACATATCTTTATTTTATCTCTATTTTGTTACGGTTTACTTAAAAGACTAGAGGAGACCTGCATTGTTTTAAAATCATATAGCCATTTATACTTTTGTTTTGCTTTCACATTTTGGAGTGATTATAGCTATTTAAAATTAAAATCATATTTACATATAACATCATTAACCTTATCTCTAGCTCTCTGTCAATTGCGTTATATTATCCTTAAAAACGTAGTGCTTTCTAACAAAAAAAATATCACGCTGTCTATTTATTCACAATAAGATCTTCACACAGTCATGTTGTCTAATATTTCTGTATCCACATTTTTCGTTCTTTTTTAAAAACTGTCAGGTTATGTAATAGTTACGACACATATACAAATATAAATATATTGTAATAAAATAACAGTGTTCCAACCAAAAAATATTCTCTATTAAGACAGGTCAGTTTCCGTTAATTGCACCAGTTACTTTGAGACCTCTATATACAGTCATGTCATCGTTAACTGTGTGTCATCAAACGTATTTCCCAGGGCAAAGATGGCAGTGGGTTTACCAAACTATGTAGGTGTTATGCCATTTAGCAGCGATAAATGTAAAGTAAAATACATTATATACATCAGTGGTGGATATTGTCTGATCTTAAACAATATTTTACAATTACTTTGAGATAAATTCAATAGCTACATATGAATTGTTCTGTCAGAAAACAACTTCAGATTGCCAACAAGACACGACCGTACAACCCTATGTAGCCAGATGTGTGGGAGTCATGCCTGTCAGTTATTTCATTCTGGACACAAATAACATTTCAGTAAAAATATTTCCTAACGTAACAGACGGAGAAAGCTATAGTTTTCAACATGTTTCTACAACTGTCCTGGGTAAGAATGCTAAATTTTATTTCTCAACCAATGCATAGCCGCTGATGCTGTTTAATCTTGGAAAACATTCTTATCGTCGTGTATTTTTTATTGCCAGAGTAAAGTAGACCCAGTGTTTCACTGCAGATTGTAGTCTATTCTGAAACTTGTCAGCTAAATAGGAAATGTTGGCCTCTAAAACAATTCGAAGATATTTTGGATACTTTAACAAAAAACCAAATTCGTTTTCTTTTAAATATTATAAGTCAAAATGTTTTTATTTGAATCAATTTTAAAATTGCATATGATGTATTCATATTTTAATTTTTAAAAAATGCCTTTGTATTAGTATATGTGACAAAAACAACATATAATTTATATTTCGCTTTACAAGTTATGATTATGCACTTAAATAGATTATATCCAAATCATATAAATTAACTATAT